GTATATATATAAAATCATACCAGATATATAATAATAATAAGAAAAAAAAGATTGAAAATTATGTTTGGAAAACTAGATGTTTTGTTTCTCTCATGGTAAGGTGGATGATATTGATTGGGGCTTCAAAGGATAAGATATATGAAATTTGAAGATAACCAGCTTAAAATAGATTTTAAAAGAAATTTAAGTTTGTACTCACTTATTTTCCATACATAACATGCATTCATTAGGATAAGTATGCCCATCAGTCCCACAGATGGGGTCATAGATCCTGGGGCATCCATTCACATTACTGTTACATACAGCCTAAAATGGAATTAAGCAGAATCATTTTCCGTTCTTTGAGTTTATAGCAAAATCTCCAAAGTGCTTTTTACCTCCCTGGAGTTGCTTAGCTTAAAGATGGAAGCATGATTGTATAGGGAGAGTGATACTAAGAGAAAGAATTAAAGATTTTGAGTCAGAAAGCCTGGTTTTAAGTAATGCCTATGCTATTTACAAATTGTCTGACATTGGTAAATTTCTTGGTGTCTCTGAACCTCAGTCACTTTATCTGCAAAATGGGAATGAAATTATCTCATAATGGTTTTATGACATTTTAATCATGTGAGTGAGATAATGTTCACGTTTATAATTACTGCAGCTGCTAGCTCTTCTCAGGTCAGCCACACCTTGGGCATGTTCTTCCTTGCACACTGTAGTCCATTCTCTTAGTCACTTGAAGGCACTAGGTGTCTTCCCCCCTTGGAGTCTTTGCACAGCCTATTTCCTCTATGTCAATAAGAACTAGTAATTATTGAATGACTACTATAGGCCAGAGACTGTCTGAAGTGCTTTTTATTTGTTATTCTATTTAAAAACCCACATCTATTCTATGAACTTTTTATTATACTCTTCTTCTGGTGAAGACAATGAGGCACAAAGATAAACCACCCATGGCCACATAGGTATTAATTCCTGGATCCAGGATTCAAATCCAGTAAATGTAGGTCCTGAGCTTTAGCTTTTAGCCACTTCACTCTACCACAAGCATGTCAAACGAGAGTTTGACATGCTTGCTATACCACTTCTCACCAGTTACACTTTGCTAACACTCATTTATCCTTCATAGCTCAAAATAAATCTCTCTTACTTAGGGGCACTTTCCCTGATCACTCTAACTAGGCTAGGTTCCTAATGGTACCAGAACTTCTTTAGAACACTCATCAAAAATGTAATAATTTATTTGCTATGTACTTTTGGTTTGTCATCTGTCTCCCTATTAGATATAAATATAATGAGAAGAGGGATACTTCTTCCTTTAAATATAGAGACAGAATATTTTTAGATGTTTGGATATAGAATACCTTTTCTAGAGGAAGAACCTAGTTTATTATATTCCTCTGTTCATTATTAATTAGAGCTCCACCTTGGAGATCTGGTGCTTTTGGAGTGAAGTTAATAAGCCTTCCACTCCAAAACGTTGTCCTACCAGATAGCCCCTGTATATATAAAAACCCCTTCACAGCAAGCACTAGGTAACTACATAGAAACTGTTTGTATATCAGTGTATTTGTCCTTTAACATGAGCCCCTATGGGGGAACTAATGTTGGCATCTGCATGTAGTAGGTTAAGCCTTGCTAGCATTCATACTTCTCATCTTGACTTCAGGCTAAACTGTAAGGTGACCACTAGAGCGTTATTTGATTGGAACAAACAGTTCTAACCTGAGAAATAAGAGATTATAAATGGTCTTTACCTTTGTTCCTGGGACATCAGCTTTAGCGTTACCTAGAAAACAAGTCAGACATGGGAAATTGGGTCCTGAATCGGAGAAGCTAGATCTATTTTATTCAAAATTCTCTGCTTCCTTTGAAAACAGTGACTTCTCTGCTGGCCTCTTTCACTCCCCACTCCTTCTTATTTCTATTTTCTCTCAAGGACATCTCATTGGTGTCCACTCACTGCCTGCTTGCTGAAAACTCGAAAAATTAAGCAAAAATTTGATTATGACCAAAGTATCTTAATTTGGTATTTCAGAAAAGTTGGCCCATTTCCTTGAAAATAGAAATGATGTGTTTACTGCTTGAAATGTATCAGGCATTGAGCAAATATCTTCTGAATGCTCACTGACATTCCCACAACCAGTTATTTAGACTTTGGTCTCACTATTAGTGATATAGGAAGTATAAGTATCTTTATCTCAGTTTATTGGTGAAGTTCATATAGCTAACTGTGAAACAGCTACAACTAGCAGTAACCAGGTTGTCTGATGCAAAACTAACCTTTGCAATTCCATTTAAGTCTCCTTTTTAAAGCAATGTTTAAGAAATGTTGTCCTTATTTTATATTAAAATTCCTCTTTCTATAATTCTCATCCAGTGAACTTATTTCATCTCTTTGGTACCGAAAGCTCTGTTCAAGCCTAGACTCTGTTTAAGTCCAGAAGGTAATGTGCCCAGTAAAGCAACAGGTCAAAAGCTTTTATTCAAGTCAGAAAAAATATGCAAAGACACCTACCAGACAAACTCAACAGGGCCAAGGCACTGAGAAGAAAAATGGCTGTCACCTTCATGGCTGAAGTTTTGTGTCCAGAGCTCAGCTGAAAACTGCAATGAACTTACCGCTTCTCTTCAGAACTGGAAGGGTTGACTGGAAGGGTTATATAGGCAGTGGCAACTCGGGCTCCACCTGCTGTCCTGTGTCACGGGTCTCTTTGGTTATTGATTGACTTCACAGTGTAGACTGGCCCCCAGGTTGGGGTAATGTCACCTGTGTATGAAAGCTGAAAGGAATGCCATGGGCCTGAAATGTGCAAGGCCAAGATTCAGTAGTTGCCTCTCTCCCTCGCCTCCTCTGGGATTTGGGAAGGCATTTCCTTTCCTCAGCCCCCGTTTTTTCTTCTGTTAGGTGAACTCAAAGGTCCCTTGTACTCGGTAGTTCTGGATATCTGAACAGCTGTGGATATGTTAAAAACCCTCTCCATTCTTTTTTGCTTTTCTCTTTTTTATTCTTTCTCTCTTTTTCTGTCACCCATTCACAAAGCCTAAAGTAGATGACAGGGGGACAGGTTATTAGAGACAGGACTCAGTTTCTTGAGAGGTGTGCGCGCACATGCTTGCCAGAGACACGTACTAGCTCTATGACATTGGAGATGTAGTGCACTTTTGCTGTGTCTCAATTTATTCATCTGAGAATTGAAATAATAATAGCACCTAACTCAAAGTGTTGACCTTTCGTTTAAAAATATGTATTGTGTCTACCATGTGTCATTGAGAAGCAATTCTCTACTCTCACTCATGTTTCGCGTGTCTTGTGAACAGAGGCACTGGCCGGCTGCCTGTGCTTCAGCCCACCTTCTCAAGAGTGTTTGTATAACAAATGGCCTTGGAGAGTGTAATAGTGTCCCCTCTGTAATAAAGAGGAGGTTTGTTTATGTTTAGTGTAATAAAGATGCCCTTTCCTTCCATGGCAAAGCTTAGGTAGGCAATAGTGCACTTTTAAAAAGATTAGGGATTTTTAAAAACCTTGGCATCCTACTCTTGTCACACACTGCACTTTCTGTTCAGGTACCACTGGGCCCTCTTCACATCACACTGTGGAAGTGGGGGCTTGAGAAACTAGATCAAATGCTGACACTCTGACTGTTGCTATTGAATAATTAAGTCCCTTGTCACTGACCCAAGAAGGTAGACATGCTAGAGGATTTGGGAGACAGTTGTTATATAGATTGGTCAGAGAAAGCCTTGCTGATCAAGTGACATTTAAAAAAAATGTTTTTATTGATTTCACAGGGAGGAAGGGAGAGAGAGAGAGAGAAACATCAATAATGAGAGAGAATCATCGATCAACTGCCTCTTGCATGTTCCTCTTAGGGATGGAGCCCGCAATCCAGGCATGTGCCTTGACTGGGAATCAAACCATGATCTCTTGGTTCTTGGGGCGACGTTCAACCACTGAGCCACACTGGCTGGGCTGATTAGGTGACATTTGAACAGAGACATGAAAGAAGTGAGACATTTGAATCATATGAATATCCAAGAACAAGCACTCCAAACAGAAATCATAGCAAGTGCCAAGGCCCAGAGACAGAAACTTGCTTGAGATGGAGAAATATTCAGCATAATTGTCTGGAGCAATGTGATAGAGAGAAACAGATGGTAAGATAAAGGAAGCAGTGGGGGCCTAAATAATAAAGGGCCTTTGTTTTCTGACCAAAGAGAAAACCGTTAGAGAGTTATGGCAGAGGAATGACGTATGACGCTTGTTCTAAACCGTCACTTTATCTGTTCTATGAAAATAGACCAGGAGGCAAGAGAAACTATTGTAATAGTCCAACCAAGAGATGAAGGTGAAAGTAGAAGGAAGAGGTTGATGTTGCACTTAGGTGAATTAATACCTGTGAAGTTTTTATAACAGTTTCTATCACATGGTAAACACTTGGAAATATTATTTTTATTGTTACCTTTTCAGTATTTATAATGCTGTTTCGTCTAACCAGAATTCTCTTCTTTACACTTATACTGAATAAATCCTTCCTAAGTCTTTAGGACTCAGTTTGAATGTTGTTTCTTACTGGAAATCTTCCTTAGGTCATTCTGGGCTTCCGTGGCATTTTGAGCATGCTTGGATATAACATACTAGAGGCCCGGTGCACGAAATTCGTGCACTGGGCGGGGCAGTGTCCTTCAGCCCAGCCTGCACCCTCTCCAACCTGGGACCCCTTGGGGGATGTCTGACTGCTGGTTTAAACCCGATTCCTGCAGGATCAGGCCTAAACCAGCAGTCAGACATTCCTCTCACAATCCGGGACTGCTGGCTCCTAATCACTTGCCTGCCTGCCTGATTGCCTCTAACCGCTTCTGCCTGCCAGCCTGATCACCCCCTAACTGCTCCCTGCTGGCCCGATTGCCTCCAACTTCCCTCCCCTGCAGGCCTGGTCCCCCCCAACAGCCCTCCCCTGATGGCCATCTTGTAATGACATGGGGGCGGCCATCTTGTGACACGAGGGTGTGAGGGTCAGTTTGCATATTACCTCTTTATTATATAGGATGACATACTGTTGAAACTCTTTGTGCATATGACTAGTTCCCCCATCTTCCATTTATGCTTCAATCTTCACATTCTAGCTTCCTCCTTTACTTCTGCTAGTGACCAGGTTGATTCATTCCTTGCAGATGCTTTAGAGCATGTGGCCTCTAACTATTCACACTTGATCACACTCGATATCATCTTTTTCCTTGGGTTTCATGACTGCACAGTCCCCTACATCTCCTCATATCTTCTCCATCCTGGTTTCCTCTCCATCCACTTTATCCAGTCTTCTCGCTCTAACGTGTAAAGACTTGGAGTTTCTCAAATATTGGCCCTAGACCAGGGGTGGGCAAACTTTTTGACTCGAGGGCCACAATGGGTTCTTAAACTGGACCGGAGGGCCGGAACAAAAGCATGGATGGAGAGTTTGTGTGAACTAATATAAATTCAAAGTAAACATCATTACATAAAAGGGTACTGTCTTTTTTTTTTTTAGTTTTATTCATTTCAAACGGGCGGATCCGGCCCGTGGGCCGTAGTTTGCCCACGGCTGCCCTAGGCCCTATTTATGCCTCACTTTTCATTTTCCTTAGGTGAACTCATTCATTCACATCATAAGTTATATATATATATCTCCAAAATATGTATCTTTTTCCTACATCTCCTCTGATTTTCAGACTAGATATTAAGTGCCTTCTTAACAATATAGACATCCTATAGTCACTTAAAAATTAATATTTCCTATACTGCTATTTTGAACGTCCACAACAAAAAATTATTTTTAGTTGCCCCATTGCTTCTCTTCCTTCCAACTGGTTGTCAAGCCAAAACCCAAGTGTTCTCCTTGATGCTTCCCTTGGCCTTACCATGCACCATCTTCCACACTTAATTTATTACCAAGTTCTATTCTTGAATCTGTGTCCTATATAACCTCAATTCTGTACACTTATCATCATGTTACACTGTCATATCTACAAAAATGCACGTCATAATATATTCACTTGGTGTGAGAATAAACTTAGAAAAGTAAATACATATTGTGCCAAAATATTATCCTCCATTTCACCCGGAAGAATAATTGCTAGCTGTAACAATCTTCTTCCTTCCATGGGTTGGTATAATGGGCAATCCATTTAGGCTTCATAAGTTCAATGTCTTGACAGAATAATTACTGTCTGCCTTATGAGATGGAATGGGTATTGGTTGAAACAACTCTGCTCATGTGCTAGACTCTTAGTCACATTTAATGTGTTTACATGACCTAGCTTTTCATAAATCCTCCCTCTTTCTTCACTTCTCTGTGTACATATCTATTTGTGCATATCATCAGGAGCTCAGGCAAACATATTATGACCCACTGCTCTCTGTTTCAAGGACAAATTATTCACCTGAATAAAGAATGATGACAAAACTTAAGAGAACTGTTCTAATGGATGCTGATAAAACTTGCTGGAATGGGGATGTTTGTTGGGCACCTGTTGATTTTCACATCCTGTGCCCAACTTGTATTTTTATTAAAGTGTAATTGATATGCAGTATTATATTCATTTCAGATGTACAACATTGATTCAACATTCATATACCTTAGATGTGATCATCATGATAAATCTAGCTACCATCTTTCTCCATACACTTATTACGATATTGACTGTATTCTCTGTCTGTATGTTATATCCCTGTGACTTACTATTTTTATAACTGGAAGTTTGTACCTTTTATTCCCCTTTACCATTTTCAGGGACATTCCCAAGTTTTGACTAGTAAGAAAAATTACAGAAACTAGAGATACGGAGTCTAATGTATCTAGCCTAACATTTTAATATCTCTTTGACTTAGCTCTTCAATCTTATTTTTTTATTATTTATAGAATTTTATGACATTTCTTAATAACCCTTTTCTTCTGCTTACTCTCCAAACAGGTTCCAGTGGTTTTGCTTGTACCCATCCTTTATAGCCTGGCTAAAATATCTGGTGCTTAAATCTGTAAAATTTTTATCTCTCATTCTAGTTCATAAAGCTATCATTAAATAATTATATTAATTACATAATCATATAACTATAATTATAACCACTACTGCTAAAAACTGTCAAAAGTTTCTATGCCAGGCACTGTGGTACTTTATTTTCATTATTTTTAATCCCCAATGCATTATTATTATTATTGCATTATTATTCCCATTTTACAAATAAGGAAACTGAAACACAGATATTTCAGTTATATTTCTGGCCACAGAGATGAAATACTGGCATATATATTTATGATACATACACATATATAAAGATATACACACAAATATACCTATATACATATATAAATGTATATATACATGTGTAGACATTATATATACATGTATATATATATGCACTAGTATACATTCTTTGTGTGTGTGTGTGTGTATATATATGTATTATATATAATCAAATAGATTGTTGGCCTAAGCAGTCAGTCAGACATCCCTCTCACAATCCAGAAGTGCTGGCTCCCAACCGCTCGCCTGCCTGCCTGCCTGATTGCCCCTAACCGCTTCTGCCTGCCAGACTGATCACCCCTTAACCACTCCCCTGCCAGCCTGATCGACACCTGTTC